CGAAGAAGAGGAAGAAGAAGAGGAAGAAGAGGAGGATGAGAAGAGGAGGTTAGCCCTTCTCGCGATCTTATTTTCATCGCGAGACGAGGCAGCTTGGCTGGCTAGCTGGCTGGCAGCCGGTGTAATGGAACACGTGCCTCGAGATAACGATGTGGAAATGAAAGGCAACGAGTGATAATGGGTCTGGTATATGGGGTTCTCGACTAGGTGACGGGTCGCTGGAAAAGTGCGTGAGGGGACTGTGTGGATGATTCGTGGAACTGCGAGATGGATGAATCTAGGGGATGAAGGAGGTTGTTAGGGACTGCGAGGTTTTTGGGAAGTGGAGAAGTTTGTTGGGTAGATGAATGGATGTCAAGTGGGGAGAGATTTGATTAAGGAATTGAATAGGTGGAAAGCTGGATGCGTGAGTGATTTAGGCTTCTCTAATGAGGAAAGTTGATGAGCTTGGGTCGATCAAGATTGTTGGAATTTGTAGATTAGGAACACGGCGAAGTTTGGTGAGTTTCTTCATACGATATTTGATTACCAAACTGAATAGTAGTCGATTCTTCTGAAAAAGAAATAATCCATGTCGAATGATGAAAGTAGGATTGGCACTCTAAAAGAACCGCGAAGGAATCAGGTGTAATTGCAACTAGGTGATTTGATGAACTGGGATCAACTGTAATCACTGAGTATCATCACGGTTTGTGGATCAGGTTGATGATGAGGACGAGTCTGGTCTGCGTAGAAAAGAACAAGAATATAAACAGTTATAGTTGAGGGATCTTGATAGGCTTGGAATAATAACGTGGAAAATTACTACAGTCTGTGGATCAAAGAAACGGCGAAGCTAAGTTTGACTCGAGTAAAAAGATGGGAAATGGTACGTGTCGGATAGAAACTGCGGTGTCGAAGAAACCTAAGATTATGAAGATGGTAGGGTTACGACGGATAAAAAGAATATCTGTGACTATTTCAATGACCATGTTTGCCATCGAAGAAACGTATTACGATCATAGATCCTTTTTAAAAAGGATTAAAGCTTAAGGATAAAGACACAAAATAAAAAAACAATTAAATTCGAGCGAACAACTAGCCAAATTAATGTACATATTTAATTCTAAAATAGGACTTCCTGACTGACAAGAGAGTAACTGTTCCTCATCAATCTTCCTCGTTCTACAAACACTTCATAATCAATTAACCATCCAAATCTAACCTTTAAGATAAAATCGTGAATGACCCCATCAGAGAATCAATTGAAGAACATATCAGATCTAGAAACCAACACTCTTAAGACTCGTGGTAAAATAGGATAATCAAAACTATCAGATCACTGTACTCCAAACTCGACTCTCAAAGAAAAATCCTATATCGTTAGACCAAGGGACCAATAGAAAAGTATAAATCACTGTACTGATCAAATACCTAAACGAAAGGATGCCGATAGTTTTCCATCAATCTTCCTCCACGTCCAGATATCTCGTTTCTCCAATCCGCAATACAAACTCAGCTTTTAAGGAAAAATTCCGTGTCACCAGGTTAAACAGCCAATCGTGAGACAGATAAATCACCATACCAAATTGTCAAACGAGAAGATTCCGATCGATGCCAGGAAAATAGTTTCTCATCAATCTTCCACGATCCTCGAATACCTCATGATCGGTTTACCATCCAGCCTCGGCTCTTAAGGGAAGACCCTGAGTAGCCGGACTAAGGGACCAATTGGAAACGGTGCCGCAACGCTTTCTACGCTTTTATCGAGCCCATCGATCGGCCTGTTACGACAGATTCAGCGCGCGCGCTCGGAGCTCGCGCGATTGCTGCACCAGGCTCCGCTCGCTGACGAGGCGAAATCGGCGCGTGCATTACGAAAGTTAACTGGAGCACGAATCGACTTTCGATTCGGTGGCAAGGGGCCCCCGCGTGCTCCCTGAAAACCGAGAGTTACTCCTTCGAATACTGGAGTTTCACCAAAGATGCCCAACCTCTCCCCTTAGCAAGTAGAAGAGCAGGAAGATCGCGATCTTTCTTCAGGATTCGATCTTTGCAACTTCTGCATTACGTAAATAACACTTGGCGAGTTTCCTTGCAGATTCGTTTCTCCTTTTCACGGGTGGGCCTCGACAGAGATACTAATTCGTATGTCTAGAGATCCTTAGCAAGATGTACACCATTGTTCGTACAGTGGCGTGAGTGTCTCTGGCTAGGTATATTTTGCTATCTACTTTTGACCAGGTTAGGTTAGTAGTCTTGGTACAACTAGTGTGATCTGTAATGTGCAAAACTTATTTAGGATATGTAAGATATAGACACTTGAATGTAGTATTGAGTACAAGATAATACCTGGAGTGATGAAAATAAGTAGATGTATATAATTATGTCCTACATTTCACTGTGTTGTGACACTAATGGAAAAATATGAAAGATCATTGAGAAACTGTTGAGATCTGTATAAAATGATTTCTCCATCTGAAAACTTGGACCAAAGAATCCATATAATACCAGGTTTTAACAAAAACCTGATGAATTATGCGCAATAAAATTAAATGCTCCTCTTTATATCCATCTGTTTACAAAGGAATTTGGGGAGAACTGAAACTCATTCGAAAGTTGGTGCGTTCTACTGAAGTCTCATTAAATCGCTAGAATTGCGGAATCGGTCTGAATTACGTGGCGATAGTTATCTGGATCGGTGGAAAATGTTGTCGAAATTGATTCGATCGCTCTGTCGTATTTCAAGCGATATCGAAATCTATGACTCTCAGTCTGTATGCTTTAACGTTTGAATCTGATAGTAGTTCAAGCGATTTCGTTAGAGGCTAATGACTTTGTTATTTGTTCCTGCTACGGGTAATTAATCGACGATAATTAATTACGAACAGTCATGTGTTATGCAAAACAAATGAATTTATTCTCACAGAACGTTCTGCATTATACAGTACGTTTTTTGTGTTCGGAAGATCTTGTGAAAGCGATTGAAGACCACCCAGATGATCTTCACAGTCTAATTCCACCTTGTGCAATTTTTTTTGATGCCACAGAACCCACGGACAAGATGAACGAATCTAATTTGCCAACAACCCAACGGCATGCTAAATCAATCGTGTCCAGAACTGATCATCTTCGCCCACGACCACATCCTACCACAACGAACCCACAAGAACGCCTTTTCCCAGCAGACTTTCACTCAGAAGCCCCCAAAGGCTCCATTAAACCAGCATCCATCGAAGATTCGCTTCGACCATACTGGGTCCATCAGTCCAGTTCCTCTGCTAAGTTCCTCGTTGCGAACGAACCCATAACAAACCCCACAACCACCTACCTAACAAACCACCGTGTCTAATAACTCTCTGCTCAAGAGTCGAGGAAAACGAAGCTTTGATCTCCTTCAACCTCCACTTCTATAGTCCTCACACCACTTGATCTCATCATAGACTGCTCAGATAGCCATCCACAGTCGATTTCGAATGAAATTTCCAATGCTTCCGTTCAATGGCGGTTCAAAAACGAAAATGAAACTTAGGGAGGTTAATTTTCGCGGGAAAGCTGGTGAACATTTCCACGGGCGAGTTAGAGATCGCGGCAGGGAGCAGCGGGATATCTAGTCGCAGGTCATTCACATCGCGAGGGGACGAGCAGTAAAAATAGAACGAGAGCGTCAGGAGTGCGTACTCTCACACGCGACCACGAGGATGATATCGACGAAGACGATGAAATTGACCCAGAAGAGGTGGAGGACCCTTCGACATGTCCAAGACATTTTTTATAAGCATTCTGTTTGGGCAACTCGATGACATGGGTTGTTATACCTGTGTCCTGGGTTCCCTTCGTGCTTCTTGCTGAAGATCAACACCTGGTTTGGGTCTGAAGAGTGCTTCTATTGTGCAAGCTTTATTAGGGTGGTTTTCATTGAAGAAAGTATTAGAATCGAGGCTGCTCCTTCTGAAGTGTAGCAAAGGACCAAATACCATGTTACCTAAAGTCAATTTTGTTAAATGGAGGGTGAACTGTTTTGAGATATTTGAGATATAGAATGTATTGGGATTGTACAATATGTAATTACTTACATGTGCAAGATTATGGGTCGCAAATGGTGCTTCGCAATAATAGAAAATGCATTTTGTGCAGTTCGATGATCTAAATTCGACTGTGTACCTTGTACGTTTTAATATAGAATCCAATTTCCGGAAGTGGTATGTCAGCTGAAATAGGATTGGAGGTAAATGTGTTGATGAATATGTAATGCTGGAGAGTATGGCGTCAATGGAAATGGTTTTCTAACTCGCATGTCAAACGTTGATTTGTTTGCACTTTAAGCAAATAAAATTACAGAAGACCAATTCAGCAGTGGAATTGAAAAATTTTATAACAATGAAAATTAATTAACTGAACTACAAAATATTCAGAGATTTTGATTACAATATGTGAATTGTACAGTGAATTTTTGTGATACAAAGACCTTTAAACATTCCTCTATCTTGAGGACCAATATTGATAATAAGATCATTCTTGAAGAAAAGTTTGTGAATCATCAGAAGTTTACATAATTCCTTAATTCCTTCAGAAATATTTCCATCAGCTAAGAATCACATTCTTGTCCCAATCATGTAGCACACAAAAGATGGTAACAAATACTCCCTACATTAGTCCAGCTCTGCCAACTACGACTGAAGCTCACTGTCATCGCTAACGACCAATTAAACTGCAATTAAATTGGCTTCACTGTGTCGGTAGCCCTAACAAGACACTGTTCTTGCAACAGGCACGTTTAAATCATAAGAATCGTTAACAAACATTACACAATACACGATTCTAACGATAGTACCTCTTAATCGATCTCAAAACCTCAAAAATTAACCTTGAGCAACATAACCTATAAACGTTACACTATTTACTCTTCAAACATCATTTTCTTTGATTAAAACTGAGAATAACATCTCTATTTTCTTTTTATAATTGTTGAAATACGAGCATTAAACTCGAAAATGATACAAAGAACATTTGTTACATACCTGCGTGTAACACCAATTTTCGGCAACAGGGGTGTTCACTTCCGGTGGTGGAGGGCTTGGTACACGGCTTACTGCCATACTACTGCTGCTGTGCAAGTTTGAGCTGACCCGCGACGTTTGAGGCGCACAGTCGCTCACCGCAAGTCTGAAACATGTACAAATTCCTAGGTTACTTCCAGTTGCACAGTTTTGCCAAAATTAGGACGCTTTTGAGGCTCCTGCGCGTGGTGATTGCAGCGACTAATTAGAGGACAACTTGCTATCAAAGCTAAAACACCGTACACATTTACAGTAACACAATTTGCGTAAAACGATATCATTTTAGAATTGATTCTCCTGTAGCTTCTCACAGAATCCAATCTCACAGTTAACCTCAAAAATAAAACGAATATTTTCTAATAAAAAGTTCCATTATTATTAAAGCTATTAATCGTGTCAAAAAGCGATTTAAAAATAAATTTGGTAAACGAAACAGCACCGCGGTATGAACATATAAAATCTCAAGATTTAAAGTGCTTTTATAAGACGTATGTATATGGTCCTAGGTACGGCAACATCAATCGGTGTCGCCACTTGACGCTTTAATCTACGACCTCGATATATCGGTTCCACCGGCAGCACTACCTTACCATCAGAAGCTTTTCAAAACTTCACTGCTGAAAAATCTTCCGAACCGAACGCCCTATCAACGACCAACAATCCCATCCTAACGTTCCCCAGTATTTCACGGAAAGCAGTTCAATCGGATTACTTTGTTCAATCAACAGAATTCCTTTTGTTGCTGAAAGGAAGATCAGTTGATCGAGACACGCGTGAACAGGTCTGTCGTTACACTTGTAGAGGGACACGAGTCGCTCGATGCGAGGGAAAGGGGGTGACAGAGGAAGGAGGGCTGAACGACGAGGTGGTGGGGGCGGAGAATGGGGTGGGGAGGATAGGTCGAAGAAAAGAAGCATGAAAGAAGAAGGGTATGCAGGGCACGCGATGGTGCTCACGTGCGCCAAGTACGGAACTACTCGAGCATCATCGAGTCGAGTACATTAGCCCCGCAGGTTCATCGGACCTGCTCCTCGCTTCTCTAGGCGAGCGGAGGTCGCTCCGCGACTTCTCGTCTTAACCTTTTAACCCTTATCGGGCCGGTCAATCGATACGTTAACGCGATAACTGCGGGGGCGGATTGGTCAGGTTGGTTAATCGTGTCGAGCTTTCGACGACGATCGACCGCAGTTTCTCTGCTGTGCGAGTACTCGTTTTGATCCTAGGAGTTCTTCCGTTTTCTTAGTATTCTCATATGCGAATTTACTATGCACTTTAATGTCATTTGATAAGAGTGTTAATCGAATAGGCAAATGCGAGAATGATAACTGAATTTGGAACGAAAATATTATTACTGGACGTGGGGATATAAGAAGTTACTAGATGTGAGAAAATTACTGCGCAACTAAAAGTGTCCATATATAGAATGTTTAAACACAATGCTTCCCGCTTCGTTACCATATATTTTAACAAGTAAAATGGTTATATGTTAATTTCTTTTTGCGTCGGTTATCGTTATGTGTATCAATGATAAATATTCAAAATTCCCGCCATTAGTATTAATGTATCGTTGGCAACAACGCGTTTTTTAATTACTTTAGGTTCGATATAAACTATGTTTCGTATACTAAGGAATAAAGGAGTGTAATCTAATGAAATTCAGATGAAGAAACGGTCGCAAGAGATTAATATTCATCAATATAATAGAAATAGATTTGTGAACCGGAAGCAAACTCCGCAAGGAAGAAATCGATTTTAGTTATGTAGTGCACAAGTTTAGTGCAAACGTAATACATTGATGTCGAGGAACATTGTTACCGTTCGAATACCATAGAGCTTCGACTATACCACTATCAATCCCTTGCTACCACGATTCCTCTTCTATTCCTCGGTAAACTCGGACTACTGTGAACTGTTGGGTTACGAAAAGCCATTAAAGTAATTGCTAATCGTCGCCTGCGTTCACGACGACCTATTAAACCCAATGTAAAATTACCATTCTTTGCCACTTTTCTCAACGACCATCATCGTCGTCGCTGAAACGAGTAGTCGTGCTGATTAGCGTTCGTTCTAACTTTTTATCGGTTAATTTCCGGCTACACGCGTAATCACGCGAATTGCGCAACAATGCGATCAATAAATCAGAGCCTTGTTTATTTTCCAGAATTGTGGCGATACGGGGCAATTTTATCTGCTATTTCTAGAAATCACCACTCGAATAGTAGCATTCGAAGTCGGTAACAGAAACATGAAGGTGAACCGACTTTTTCTCCTCTTCGTTTACAACGCTCTTTATCAAGCTGCGCTATTTCTAATTTGATAATTATAGCTTCTTTACAACCAGGATTTAGGTGTAATACTAAAGAAGAAGAGATGAGAAATTGTATATATCATCGATGATTCACATTGTTTCCTAATTCAATTTAAAACGACCTACCAGAATATCCCATGAGCCGATATTTTTATTACAAAAGAAAATTGTATTTAGCAAGGAACTCGATACCGAAACAATTAAGACAATGTCTTCAGCTTTCTAACTGCTGTTAATATTTATCCATTACTAAACAGACGATTTCCTAATACTCCTGGTAATGTATCAATTATTTATGCCAATTTAATTCAATCGCGTTCCTAAAAAGTAAGACGGATAAATAATATATTGTAAGATTGTATTCTTTCTTTTTTAAGATACTGAATTTTCATACCCTTCGAAACTGGTAGACCGTCAAATAAAAGTGCTTGTGAATGGTCTTGGCACCGGATGGATTAATATCAGTATTTATCCCCTTCCAAAGGACGACGTTTCCGCTTACGGATGCCGTTTGCGTTACATTAAGAGACGTATGGAGGTATGGAGGTGAACTACATACGGTTAAATTGTTGTTCAACAGACGGACGCACACATTACAATGGAAAAAGTGTTTCAACCGCGCATATGGTTAACCGCGATACTAAAAAAATAAGAGTATGCTGTGATAAGTGATTCTTAACATCTCAACCATGCAGTTCCTTCATTAAATTGATATGATTCCATGTTTTTGAGGTAAACGTGTTTACAGGAAAAGTGTGGCTTCTAACTGACTTGTGCGAATCTAATTTTTGAATTTGATAATTTTCGTATTTTCAAATCTTTTAATTTCCTTGAACTCATATTTTCAAAAATTCAAAATCGCAAAATTTTTAATTGTCTACTTTTCGGTATTTATACTTATAGCAAGACAATTATGATATCGAAATAATGCATTAATGTACGCTATAATGTTTGTAGATTCGAATCATTGGACAATTGCTAAGATTAAAGTACTCAACAAACACGGAAGCGTTTATTCCTTCGATTTTAACGTATCGATAAGATAGCGATCTCCATTTCCGGAAGATATATACGTCGAGTGCTGGGTAAACGAAAAACAGGCTCATTTTCCCCCTTTCACTTTCCAGCACACGCTCTTTGTAAGCAGCAAAAGTAGACACGAGCAGATAAGAGAAATCTCGCGATTACGTTACTTTTACCTCGCTTTAAACATGCTGATCGAATAAAAGAAAAACGGAAAATTTTTACCAGCACAGGTGAAAGACAATTCGAGAAAGTATCCCGCATTTCCCTTGCGTTGAAAATTGGCTCCAGTCACGAAAGGATCTCTAATTTTCTGTTGATGCAGTTTTAGTATTAAATATAACTAGTAAACAGTCGGAATTTATTAACGTAAGTACATAAATCAACATTCAAACCTTTAAAAGTTCACGAAGTTGCATATTTGAAGATTTTAAAATTAGTTAAAAGTTCCTATAAATTTTAATGGCAGCGAAATAGTATCTTCTAGTTTCATAAATGTCACTAGTCCATATTCTCATCACGTTGTCCCTATAAAAATAAAAAATATGATACTTGAAACTAATCCGTCTGCGAACTTGCAAAGTTAACAAGCAGGATTATAAAAACGTCCATAAAAACCCCTATAAAAAGTCATGAAGCTGTAAAGTGAGCGAACCATAGGGTGACAAAGCCGAGGGGCGATAAATCACCAGCCACAATGTACACCTAGGATCAAAATTCGCTAGGATTTAGTTCGAGCCATATAAAACTAAAGGGAACAATCATAAAGCTATCACGTTACTTCTAATTTTATTGCTGTATTCATCGAGCTTCCTTGCTTCATGGAATATGCTTCTTTCATGATCACATAAATTCCATTAAATTTATTTCTATTCCAATAAGATCCTTAAACGCGTATCACTATTAATTTTCAAAGATTTACAGCATAGAGGCTCAGAATTCTTGTTTAATTCAGCTTACATAAAATTTAATCGTACTTCCACAAAAGAACAAAAAAAAAAATGAAAACACTCTCCTCTAGAAAAAGTACGGAAAGAATGTTACTACAAAGTAACCTAACCACAAAAGCTGAAAGAAAAGAACTTCGTTACAAAGTCATTTAATAAACGAGAATAAAAAAAGATAAATATACTTGGAAGATATGTCCGTAAAAATAAAAAGCGGAAAAAGAAAAGAGAAAAATTCGGCGCAAAGTCGCGTAAATCTCGTTTGAAAAGGCAAGCGTGATACATCCATTCGTTAAACCTCTTATCCGTCGACATGTTAACTGGCGCCTTTTGCGCGACGTCCCTCCCCTCCACCAACATTGCTCGTTCTAACTTTCACTTCCACGTTTTACTCCCACGTTGCTTTTGCGCTAGATACAGTCAGAGGCGTCGAGCGAAAGGGGAAGAGGCCGCTATTCGGGACGCAGTGTTTCGAGCGACATTTTGCCGAGAGAAAGATAAACGGTTTTATCGTGATTCTACGTTTGAAGCCAGGTGAATGTAGGGAGCGCGTGAATATGGGTGGAAGAGAACGTGAGCACTCTTGCGCATGCTCGGAGGCCGATTTTGTGGGAAACGAGAGACCGCATCCCAGCGATACCCACGGATCGCTTTTTCCACGCATGCGTAACGCGAATGTAGAAGAAATACAACGAGAATCAACGATCTGTCAAAGTTCGCAGAAGCGTAAATATTTTGTTAAGCGAATTGACAGGAATTGGAGAACATAAGATTCGAAACCATAGGTTTGCTTTTCTAATAGCTTCAATTTAACCTTTAAGGAAAGTC